TTGACACTAAGGAACTGCCTTTTAAAGTTCTTTTGATATTGGACAATGCCCCTGACCACCTAGAACCCCATGAGTTCAACACCAAAGGCATCAAAGTAGTCTACAGACACATGTCTGTAATCTAGCCTCTAGATCAGGGGGTCATAAGGTCCTTTAAGGCTCATTACACATGGTTCTCTATGGAAAGAATTGTCAACATTATGGAACCCTAACAGAGAGAACATCATGAAAGTCTGGAAGGATCACACCATTGAAGATGCCATCATTGTTATGGAAAAAGCTGTGAAAGCCATCAAGCCTTAATTAATAAATTCCTGCTGGAGAAAACTGTGTCCAGATGTTGTGCATGACTTCACAGGATTTACAACACAGCCAGTCAAGGAAATCAGGAAAGAGATTGTGGATATGGCAAAAAGGTCATGGGTGAAGGATTTCAAGATATGGATTTTGGAGAAGCAGGAATCAGAGGAATTAACAGAAGACGACTTGGTGGAGATGAGTGCTCCCAAACCAGGGCCACACAATGAGGATGAAGGCATAGAATAAGCAAGGCCAGAAAACAAATTGACATTAGGCTATCTCGCAGAAGGGTTCTGATCATTCAAGACTGCTTTTGACTTTTTTTGTGACATGGACCCTTCTATTAATATGATATGGACACTGAAACTAAAGAAAATGGTGGAAGAAGGATTGATATCCTATAGAAACATTTCTTGAGAAATAAAAATGTAATAAAGTCAGACAGAAATAATAATCTATTTCCATAAAGTTTCACCACTTGTGCCTTCCTCTCCTGCCTCCCTCCCACCTCTTCTGCCTCCACTGCCCCTGAGACAGCAAGCCCAAGCCCTCCTCTTCCTCCTTCTCAGCCTACACAATGTGAAGAAAACAAGGATGAAGGCCTTTATGATGATCCACTTTCACTTAATGAATAGTAAATATATTTTTCTCTTCCTTGTGATTTTCTTAATAACATTTTTTTCTTTAGCTTACTTTATTGTAAGAATACAGTATATGGTACATATGCATACAAAATATTTGTTAATTGACTATTTATGTTATCACTAAGGCTTCCAGTCAACAGCAGGCTATTACTAGTTAAGTTTTGGGAGAGTCCAAAGTTATACATGTATTTTCAACTGCATGGGGGTTGGCACCCCCACCTCTGTGCTGTTCAAGGGTCAACTGTATTTTTTCATGTGCCTCTCTTGCCACTAGAGGGTGCACTCCCAGGAGGTAGAGAATGGGTTACTCTGTACATTTTGTCTTTTATGAAGTATACACTCAATTATCTACTGAATAAAGGGATGTGCCCATTCTCTGGACCTGTCCTGGGTCACATTCTGTTAGTGACTCCCATGAGATCTCAGAGCACATGCACAGATGATAGGAAGCTGAAAGTACAGTGACTTAGTTGGATGCTTAGTGAGGGTGAGGCAGAACACAGCAGGTCGCTTTAAGGCACTTAATCCAACAAGATGAAAATTTAGAGAGAGGGTATAAGCCTTTCACCCAGATTCCCTAAAACACAGCATAAGCACAGACTGGGTGTGATGAGTCTTGGCCGCAGCGCAGAAAAGAAACTTGAGGGTTTGAATGAATCACGTAATCACTGATCTGTGGGCTATTGGACTCTGTTAATGGGATTATAATGTTCAGAGAGAAAGGAGGGAGGAAGGAAGGAAGGAAAAAAGGGAGGAGAAAAGCAGGGGAGAAGAAGCAGAAAGCAAATGTCCTCCAGTGCCTCCAGTATAATTGGATCCTGGGGATATTATCCCAGTAGTATACAAAGTTTCTAAACTGAGTACAACTTACTTCCCAAACTTTAAATGACTTCAGGGACTAAAATGGTCCCAAAGAACAAACTGGAATTTAAATTATCTTCTAAAGGTGATGGCCAGTCCTTTGGATATTGTGCCCTGAGCACACAAGGCAGGTGGAGGGGAGAGGACCCTTCACCTGTCACACGTTCTGAGCCCACACCCTGGCGCTTCAGACGTGTAGCCTCTTTCCATCCCTTAGGAAACTGATCATTCTTGCTCAGCATGTTTGTGATGAAGGTAAGTGCAAGTTTTGATTGAAAGAATACCAAAATTTTCATTAGCATAGCTACATTTCTATCATCAGACTTGATGGTAATGGAATGGGGCTTGAGAAGGGGAGCGATGAAGCACTTTTATTGGTATATTATTCTCACAGAATCAAATAGACCCCACAAACTCCAAGAGTATCTAAGACCATCTGGCTTTACCTCATCACTGTAGGGAGGTAAAGAGGGCTTGCCAGGAACCACAGAGCTAGTAGTCTTCTTCCCACACTCAGTTGTCCTTTCTTGATTAAAACTGTTGGGCTCTTTCTCATTTCATAATTAGAGTACAAAATCCAACAATAGTAATGAGCATGTGTCTGGGTCTGGTGATGATGATATACAGGGAACATTTCTTCATGTGATCCAGGTTCTTGGAGAGTAAAGTTGGCTGGCCAGCATAGAATGACAACCCCAGCTGGGGACTGGTGTACTGTCCCAGCACACACACCAAGCCTGGGGACCATTCTCAGTTTCACCTTTTGTAGTCAATTCCTGGATGATACGTTTGCCTCTAAGAGATATATCTATTTTGTTAAGGTCCTAGGAGAAAAGAGGAAATTGATTCTTATTTATCTTCATCCCAAAGTCATGCTATTTCTGGATATTTAGAGAGCTATTGTGTGGAAGAGAGATTAACTGCCTTTGGGGGCTTCAGAAGGCAGGGCCAGGTTGAAGTTGCAAGGGGGCAGATTTCAGCTCAATATCAAGGATAATTATTCCAAAATGAAGGGAGCCTTGCTGGGAGGCAAAGAGCCCATGTCACTCAGATAGTGAAACCTAGGCTCTGGGACTATCAGGAACGCAGTAAGGGACTCTATGTTGGAAAGGGAGCAAATTACTAAATAGACCCTAAGGCCTGTTGTCCTTTACATTAGAATAATTGTTGTGGTTGATGACGTAATTATTTGTTTGCATGACTGTTTCTCTACTAGATTTTGAGCTCTTTGAGGTCAGGGACCATGCCTTTCACTGTTATGTCCCCAGCACCAAGAATTATGGCCCAAAGCAGATGCCCAATAAATGTCTGTTAACCTGAACTGAATTATTATGACACAGACTTGGTCACAGCTGTAATGTGCTAAGCACCGACAAAGGAGTGTCTCAGAGCTCAGTAGGCAAAGTACCCCTGCAACAACCGAGGAAGGGAGTGGATTACTGAGAGCTCTTGGAGAGATGGCTATCTGGGAGGTTCATAAGTATTTTAGATACAGTGCAAATAAAACCAAATACCCAATACCCTCAAAGTTACCTACAAGTTTTTTACTGGCCCAGAATAAATCCCAGTTTGGGGAACACTTAGAAGTCTGAGGAGTGTTAAAGAAAAAATTATTCAATGGTACTTGTTAAAGCAGACTTTACTCAGGCACTCATGGCACCGTCTCAATAGGTGCAGTGGGATTTTGTAGTGGGGGAGAGTGATTGGGCTCAACCCCAAATACAACATGGGCAAGTAGGAACTTATAGCCAAGGAGCAGAGTTGGGGTCAGTGGATAGAAAATTACGAAGAGGAAAAACAGGGGTAAGGGAGATTATGGCTAAACCAACCTAACAGGATTCTTACTGAAGACAGGCCAGGGTGATTAGACATCATCTGGGGTGAGGTGGAGGATGAGGAACCTGATCAGATATTGAGGGTGATGCAGTATTGAGGCTGGGGGTTTCTTGCTAAACTGACTTAGCAGGGTTCTCTACTAAAACTGAATTGTACTATTACTAGGAAGTGCACAGAAGGGTCCCAGAGAAGGTTCTGGAACCTAAATAAAGTTTGGAAAATTGAAGAATCTTTATCAGGAAAGACTTAGCCTTCCCAGTAAGAAGAGTTGACAGCAGGCCTCGGGCTCTGTGAACAGTCTCAGGAACAAGTCAGTGCCTCCGGTGCAGGCAATGGGGAGTGGAGAAGAGGGGAGGTTCAGTCAGGCGCTCACTCAACTCAGTCATGGTGCATTCTCCCCCAAATGTACAAAAGGATCAGAAGGTGTTAAGACCTTGGCATTGTTGGTGTCAAGGTGGCCTGGGCTGATTCTCCCAGAAGGTGTCGCCAGAGCTGTCTTCTTGGCTCCCACCTGCCCCAAGGAAAGGGAAGTTTTATATTCTGTTGTTGTTTTTTTCTGTTGGTTTTCATTATGTCATCTTGTCTCCTTGTTCACCTTATTCTTCGTAAATGTATGTCATATGTTGTGTTTGCAAATTATTTGTAGAAATGATTTGGAGACTAGAGTGACGTTACTTTCCTTCAGAGTGGATTTGTGTTTGCTTCTGTTAGGTACTTGGGAGCACCCCAAATCTGGGACTACCTCAGTGAAATTCCAGGGCTTGAGAAGATTTGAAGCTGAACTACAGCACCTGTTTCCTTCTGATTTGCCCTTCTTCCTGTGTTTCTGCCTTTTGAAATCCCATCCCAATGGGATAAAGTTAGGGGCCCTTCAAGGTGGGTCTTGTACTTCAAAACCTATTCCCCATCTCCATGAGGGTGTTGGTCATGCTCCTCTGTCTCTCAGTGGCCCCATCCAGCAGCTGCAAATACTCCAATTGAAATACAGCCTAAAGTGCTGAACTTATTTCTCTGGGTCCTTGTTTTCCTCAAAATCATAACCTTATGATTCCTCATTGTCTTATTACCTCCAATACTTTACACAGATTTTTTTTTTATATATTTTGTCCAGTTTTTCTAATTGCCATTTGAAAAAGAGTTAATCCAAATTAATCTGTTTGTTCTTACTGGAAGCAGAAGTTAAATATTGATCTCTACTACATTGTTTCCAGAACCCCATAGAGATGAACAGATTGTCAGGGCAATTCTCCAGTTGCTCAGCAGAACAAGGATTTTTGCCTGGCTTCTCAGGCACTTTTGGAGTAAGAGAATGCTGAGGTTGACCTTTTGAGTTCCTGCAAGTGACAAAGCAGATGCACCATGGACAGATCCAATGAGACCTCCCCGGTGATGGGGTTTATTCTTCTGGGACTTTCAGCCCACCCAAAGCTGGAGAAGACATTCTTCGTGCTCATCTTGCTGATGTACCTGGTGGTCCTACTGGGCAATGGGGTCCTCATCCTAGTGACCATCCTTGACTCCCGCCTGCACACGCCTATGTACTTCTTCCTGGGGAACCTCTCCTTCCTGGACATCTGTTACACAAGCTCCTCAGTCCCCCTTATCCTTGACAGCTTCCTGACCCCCAGGAAAACCATCTCTTTTTCAGCCTGTACAGTACAGATGTTCCTTTCCTTTGCCATGGGGGCCACAGAATGTGTGCTCCTGAGCATGATGGCATTTGATCGCTATGTGGCCATCTGCAACCCCCTACGATACCCCATGGTCATGAGTAAGGCTGCCTATGTGCCCATGGCTGCTGGTTCCTGGGCAGCTGGTATCACTAACTCTGTAGTACAGACATCCCAGGCAATGCGGCTGCCCTTCTGTGGGGACAATGTCATCAACCACTTCACCTGTGAGATCCTGGCTGTTCTCAAATTGGCCTGTGCCGACATCTCCATCAATGTGATCAGCATGGTTGTGGCCAACATGATCTTCCTTGCAATCCCAGTCCTGTTCATCTCTGTCTCCTATGTCTTCATCATTGCCACCATCCTGAGGATCCCCTCAGCTGAAGGGAGGAAAAAGGCCTTCTCCACCTGCTCTGCCCACCTCACAGTCGTGGTCGTCTTTTATGGGACCATCCTCTTCATGTACGGGAAGCCCAAGTCTAAGGACCCGCTGGGGGCAGACAAGCAGGACCTTGCAGACAAGCTCATCTCCCTCTTCTATGGGGTGGTGACCCCCATGCTGAACCCCATCATCTACAGCCTGAGGAACAAGGATGTGAAGGCTGCTGTGAGGAACATGGCATTTCAGAAACCCCCGAGTTAATGACTGTCACAGAATCCAAGATTGCCAGAACACAGGATCTCCAAGCTTCTCATTGTTCTCATTAGAAAATGGTAACTCAGAGTAGAGAAGGGATTTTCCAAGGTCCATGTCCTGGACCACAAAACTAGAACTAAAAACTAAATTGATTTTCCCCCCCATTGTTCCATAGGTAATACAAGTGACTATCTAAGAACCTAGAAGTAAAGAGTCTTCATATTTCTGGAGATGCTGGCTAGTTGGTGGCTTTGTGTACAACCTCAGTGACATCATACCATAGCTAACTTATGTTTGCAAAATCTTATATCCTCTGCTACCAGAAGCTGTGAAGAGTCATCAATGGGTGCAAAATTAGGAGACAACCACAGAACCAGGTTTTAGTGGCACTGGATTCTGGGAGTGTACTGTGTGGCCCTACGTAGAACTGCTGAATACTGTGCACACATTGGTATTATCCTAGAGGCATGTGTTTGGCAAGAATAGCATGAAAAACATCATCCGTGCCATCACAGTGTGTCTGCTGATGGCACCATGGCTGGAAATCTTCTTAAGTCTTAGCACCAGGAAGAGAAGAGACTTGCCTTAAATAGTGGGGACTGGTGTGCAAGGAAACACAGAGAAATGTCTGCACCTTCTCTCCCACCCCAGTTCCAACCATGCAGTGGTATGGGACTCCGTGTGTGGGAGGCAGCAGCGCTCAGTCTTTTCCTGCCCCCACAACTGGCATGCCTCACAACACTGACACCTACCAGACACTCCCATGGATGTGCCCAGAGTATAAAGAAATCCAAAAATTATTCTGGGGAAAGCAAAGAGTTACAATAGTCCTCAACTCCGCATCTATCACAGGTCCACGGTCATTAGTAAGAGTTGCTTCCCACTGGCCTGGGGAATAGGGCTGTCAGCCTGAGGCTTTGGACATTTGGGGGGGTCAGCAGCAGCCTTGACAGCATGGTGGTTGGATGCTGCATGTAGTAGGAGACCTTCAGTTTCACAGAAGACAAAACTCTACTCTACTCAAATATAATGTGGATTTGTTTATTCCAAAGTAGGACCAGCCTCAGGTGTGGTGAATCAGGCTCCCGTTTCTTTGCTCTAAGATTCTTCTGACTTTGCTCTTCCAGGTGTCAGCTTTGTTTGCAGGCTGACTCCTCTCATGGTCACAGGACTAATGCAGCAAGCCCTGAATAGAAACCATTGTTCCCACAGCCAAAGAACAAACACGTGTCCTGAGATTTGCTCTGATTGGACTGAGGCAAACTGCAGACCAAGCACTGTGGCAAGTGGGATGAGATGATGAAGATTGACTTACCTAGCACTCTGGGAGGCCAAGGCGGGAGGATGGCTTGAGGCCAGAGTTCAAGTCTGGCCTGGGCAAGAGTGAGACACTATCTCTACAAAAATATAGAAAAATAAGCTGGGCATAGTGGCACATGCCTGTAGTCCCTGCTACTTGGGAAGCTGAGGTAAAAGAATTGCTTGAGCCCAGGAATTTGAGGTTGCAGTAAGCTATGATGATGCCACACACTTTGACCCAGGCAACAGAACAAAATTCTGTCTTAAAAAAAAGATTGACTTAGACCAGCAGGGCCCTCCTCTGAAACTGAAGACAAGGCCAGTCTCACCTAAACCCAGTGGCTGCTGTACAAAGGAAAATCTGGAGCTGTTAAGAATGGGGCAAGGGGGCAATGAATCCTGGAAGGACAGCCAACAAATGCCCACCACATTCTGGGCTCTGGGTAAGGCTTCCTATCCCTGGGAACCCCTGGGAGCGTTGGATGCTCCTTCCCAACTGCGACAGAAGACTCCCATCGGCCTGGTCAGATGGGACTGGGTGTCTGACAATTTGATTAAGGAAAATAAATAAATGAATGGTTTTTGTACATCTGAGTTTTTGTCCTGAGATTCAAACCCGCTCCCAGTATGTTGTATCCCATCTCAACCCTGCAGCTGAGAATGGCCTTGCCTTTCTCTGCTACTGCTGAGCACTTGGCCAAGTCTCTCTCCCTCTCTGAGCCTTGATTTCTTGTCTGTGAAATGAAAGGGTATAGCCCATCCCTCCCACTAGATAGTTCACATGAAAACAACTGGGGAATGTCCAGAAAGGAGGAATTCGTGGCTCACATTCACAATCTGCCACTTTCTGATGAGGGGTCTCCTTGGGGCTCTCTCTGCCATTCATTCTCTCCACAGTTCACGAACAATTGCTACAAACTTCTAATGCCACTTACAGGACTATGAGAAGGGGATTTGGGTGGCTGATGGGGTTCTAGTTACCTGTGCCTGCTTCAAACCCGCCATCTGGTGGACATTTCTGAAGCTACCAACTGAAATTTCTGCAAGCTTCTGAGATCTGTGCTTCCCAGACTTTAATGTGTTTGTGAGTCACCTGAAGGTCTTGTGAAAATGCAGATTCAGATTCACTGAGTCTGAGGTGGGGTCTGAGATTCTACACTCAAACAAGTTCCTGGACTATGCCCGTGCTGCTACTCTGCTGGCCATACTTTGAGGAGCAAGGCCCTGAAAGACTCTGGACCAGGGCAGAGGGCCTGAAGGAAGAGGCAGGGTGGGAAAACTTCCTCTCGGAAATCTCCGACCACATGCCAAGCCCTGGGGAACCAGCAAGCCAGCGAGGTGCTCACCCAGGCTGGCAAATTCCCTCAAGGCAAAAGCCTAAAACTTTAATGCTTTTAAGTCTTTGGGTTCCAGATTTCACCTGGTATTTTGGCCTTTGAGTATCCCTTACTTTCTGGAAAGCTTATCAACACACTTAAATTTTCTTTTTCTTTTTACATTTTATTCAGCATGTTTAGTTGTTTTCCATACTCAGCAGGAGGGTTGGTCAGAGAATCTAATTGTCCATACTGCCAGAAGAGCCATCCTTGACCAGTGTGGTTTATATAGCTGCAAAATCAAGTTGCCTAGTATCTCCCTCGTCACATTCAATAGGTTTCATTAGCTCACAGGGATGGACAAATACTCCCCAGAACTGACGTGGCCTGATTACAGGACGGGGGATGACACAGAACATAAAATAATGACACAGACGCACAAGGACATGACAATGACTTGAGTGACCAATGCATCGGTTGCTTTATTTTTATACCCCCCAGACCCAAGGTTAGTTCCTTGTATGTGAGCATCTGAGGGTAGCAGTGATATCAGTCAATTCCGGAGTTGTTTCAAAAGGGAACAATTTCCCATGGTCTCAGACCTCAAAACGGTTATTGAAGTTAAGGTGCCAGACAGAGCTCAAAAGCCAAGGCCGAGATAGGCAACATAAAACAATGCAGCCATTTGAAGTGCTTCTCGGTCTCAATCCCAGGCGGCAGCTCCTCCCTGCCCCCCATGGTTGTGTCTGTCTTAGGTCGCCCCCCTCCATGGGGAGTCTTACCCGTCACTGACTACCAACCATCAATGGGGGGCTAGTTCTTGGGAGAGTTCTTCTTTTTCTTTTCTCATGGCCTCCAGACTCCCAGCACAGGGGCCCTCCGTGTGGGAGTTGGGAGCATTTGCTTATGTGCAACAACTCAGGCCTCTTAGGCAGCAACAACTCAGTCACAAGGCAGCAACCATGTCTGAAGAAAATGCTGACTACTGCTGCGTCAGACAGCACCCGTACATTACAGGCTGTAGTGAATGATTAGTATAAGGCATAACACCAGAATCAGCTCCCAGCATAGAACAAAGCATTTGTTTTTCCCTTAGAGTGTCAAATTAGACAGTAATCTTAAATGTTAGGCTTTCGGGGGGCAGGGGAGGAGTTTTTTAAAATCTAGAATTTTCCTTTTCAAAATTAAGGGGAAAGTTTGAGTTTATCACTAAAGAGCTTTACCAAAAGCCATAGGAGAGAGAATTCAGGATATGATAATAAAGGGTTCCAACCTCCTTAGGGGGAAATGGTGGGAGCTAGAGAAGGAATCTAGTGCCCTCTCCATTCTGGGCTGGTGCCCAAAACTAGAGGTTGTGGGTGATGTTGAGACAATAAAACCTCTGATAGAAATTCCAGACAGGCTAAGGGCAAATTCACAAACGTCAACTGGTTTTCTACTTCTCTAGAATGAACATGATATTATCAATGCTGCAAGCCCAGAGATACTAGACTGGCAACAGATCACCACCCCAAGATTCCCTCAGCCCCCGTGATACATAAGAGAGGTCCAGAATTCCTGTGTCCCCTATAGAGGGATACAAAGGTGGCTGGATATATTATCTGATTGTGTTGTCAGCAGGATCACCATGGTGAGTGAAGAAGTGATCCTATATTTCAAGGATATAGAACAGAATAGCCAAAATTCAGAGCAATCGGGAATTTTAGCCATATCTTCAGGGAGCCATAGTAGCCAGGAGAGTAAGGCAGTCCCTGGCCAGCGGGGGGTTGGTGTTTCTGGAGCAACTGGGCATTTGCATAGGGGAAAAAAAAATGAACCTTGGCTTTATATCATACCATACACAAAACTTTATCTGAAATGAGTCATAGACCTAAATGCTTAAGCTAGAACTATAAAACATCTAGAAGAAAACATGGAAAAAATTTTTGTGACCTCAGAGTTGGAAAAAGTTTCTTAAGATGCAAAAAATATGAACCTCTAAGGAAATAAGGGTTAAATTGGAATTCACTGAAATTTAAAATGTTTGCTCTTCAGACAATACCATTAAGAAAATGAACGGGCATATCAATAGATTGGGAGATAATAGTTACAAAGCATAAATCTGATAAAGGATTTGTATCCATAATATATAAAGAATTCTTACAATGCAATATAAAGAAGACAACTCCCCAAAATGGAGAAAAGATTTGAACAGATGCTTCACACAAAAGAGTTTCACAAAAGATTTATGAATGGCCAATAAGCACATGAAAAATGTTCAACATCATTAGTTATTATGAAAATTCATATTAAAACCACAATGAGTTTCCACTATATACTCATTGGAATGTCTGAAATGTAGAAAACAGACAGTACCAAGGTTAGAGAGGATGTGTAGCAACTAGAACTCTC